ATTTACTGATCCTTGGTCTAGTGTTCTTTTTACTGTATCTCTTTTTAAAAGTCTCTGACTTATTTTTATTTGCTTGTATGATAGTTTATTGCAAAGCCTTGTGATTACATTAATACCATTGCTAATGACTAGATTTAGAACAATGGCAAACATATAATTTATTATTCAATCTTGTACATTTTTGAGAGCTAAGTGTTATACTAATAATCATGACGGCACACGAGGCATCAATGGCACTGTTGCAGGCCAACAAGGATATATGATCACCCCATTTAGATCTGTTATACTCTTAAAATAATGATAAAAATCATGCACTATTAGATTTATGTAGTTGTCATGTACTTGTCATGAATACCAGAGTAAGAAACCACTCCACATTCTAACTTTTTAAATTATTCATATTTGAATCTATAGACAAAGTTTACATATAGGGTAAGAACTTGACGCATTAAGAATCAGGTATTTGGGTTTTGCTTGGATAACACTCAGTATGAATCAACTGACTTTAATTGCACTCAACTTGTGTGAAATATTTCTGAGTAAATTTGTCTTTTTGATGCCTAACATTCATCACCTTTCTATATGGGGTTCATTTACTACACATGTGAACTAAGGCCTTGCCTTCCTTTAAATCAATCAAAAGGGGATAAATATTACTCTTCTCATATTCTTGACATCAGAAAGCATATGACTTAGGCTCAGCTGTTTGGAATGCTCCCCTAGGATTTTGATTTTTGAGAGAATAACACAAACTCCATGGTCCTATGATATGATCACATCTGCCTTTTTGAGTTTTTGATGGTTTTCAGAGTCTATTTCTCTAGGCTTCTTATCTACTCTGTGAGATCCTGCACATTCTTTCTATCATTTCATTCACTTCTGTTATCCAAACTTAGTTTCTGCTGCCTATAGAGGCTTAAATATATGGTTTGTAAATCAAAGAAAAATAATCTTAACAATGATTTTGAAATATAGCCACTTTTTCAAATTGTGAATATTATAAGTAAGAACCTTTGATTTAATTCTAAATTTAATTCTAAATTTATAATTTACTCTGAAATGTCTGATTTTGAATCAAAAGAGTAGTTTATTATATCTCAAACAAGAAGCGGTACAATTAATCAAATATGCACCTAAACTATCAACACAATTTTGCTGTCTTAATGGTAGCTTATTTATGGCAGCAGCGCAGCAGCCCAGAGAGGGAGTGGCAATGAAATTGCAAAAATTGTTTTCCACAGCTTTTTGAGGATTGAATATTTTGCCTTGCAAGGAGTGCTCCAAATCCTGGAAGAAGTGGTAGTCACTTGGTGCAACGTCTGGTGAATACCATGGATGACAAAGAGCTTCCAAGTCCAGCCTCTGTAGTTTGAGATCATTGTTTGTGTGACATGTGGTTGAGCATTGCCTTGCAAAAGGAGTGGCCTGTCTGTCTTTATTGACCAATCTTGGCTGCTTAATCGCAACCATCCTCATCACTTCATCCGATCGGTTGCAGTAGACATCCACTTTAGTGGATTAACCAGGTTTCATGAAGCTGTAGTGGATAATACCAGCACTGGACCACCAAACAGATACAATTAGCTTTTTTTTTTTTTTTTTTTTTTTTTTTTTGAGACAGAGTCTCGCTTTGTTGTCCAGGCTAGAGTGAGTGCCATGGCGTCAGCCTAGCTCACAGCAACCTCAAACTCTTGGGCTCGAGCGATCCTGCTGCCTCAGCCTCCCGAGTAACTGGGACTACAGGCATGCACCACCATGCCCGGCTAATTTTTTATATATATATCAGTTGGCCAATTAATTTCTTTCTATTTATAGTAGAGACGGGGTCTCGCTCTTGCTCAGGCTGGTTTTGAACTCCTGACCTTGAGCAATCCGCCCGCCTCGGCCTCCCAAGAGCTAGGATTACAGGCGTGAGCCACCGCGCCCGGCCTACAATTAGCTTTTTTGATGAACATTGGGTTTTGGACTGTTTTGGCTCTTCATCTTTATCCATTCATTGTACCAAGCACTTGAAATTATCAAAAAGAATCCATTTTTCACCACACATAACAATACAGTGTAGAAATGGTTCACCTTTATGTTGTGACTCATGTGGAACCATCTATCCAGCTCATTTATCTTGTTGATTTGTTTCACATCATCCAATATTGTTGGAATAGTAACGTCGAACTCATCACAGATGTGATGCAATGACACTATAGATTCTAATTATGTAAAAAGGGTAATAGGATAATATTATGGAATTACTTTATGTCAATAAAATTGACAACTTACATGAAATGGATAAATCCTTTGATAGACACAAACTCAAAAAGAAATAGATAATTTAGATCTCTATTAAATAAATTAAATGTTAATTACAAATTTCCTACAAAGTAACTACAGGTCTAAATGGTTTCAGTGGTGAAGTCTATCAAACATTTAAAGACTAGCTAATTGTAATACCACACAAACCATTTCAGAAAATTGAAAAGGAGTGGATACTTCCTAATTCATTCTATGAGACCTACATTATCCTGATGGCAAAAACCAAATAACAATATTGCAAGAAAACTATAGACCTATGTTTCATGTGCATAGATGCAAAAATAATTTTAAAATTTTAGTAAACTGAATCTAATAATATATTAAAAGGAAAATAAATCATGACCAAGCAAGATTTATCATAGAAACTGCAAGGTTGGTTTAATGTTTGAAAATCACTTGATGTAATCTACCATATTAATAAGCTAAAAATGAAAGAATCATATTAAAATCTCAATAGATGCCAATAAAACCCCACTGGATAAAATTCAACATCCATTTCTAATAAACTAAGAAACTAGGAATGAAAAGGAAGTGCCTCAGTCTGGTAAGGGAATTTATGAAAACCTATGGCAACATCATAATTATTATCATGGGCTGAATGTTTGTATCCCCTCCATTCATATGTTGAAGTTCTAATCCCCCATGTAATGGTAGTGGGAAGTGGAGCTTTGGGGAAGTAATTAGGTATGGATGAGGTCCTGAGGGTGGAATCCTCATGATGAAATTAATGTCCTATAGAAGAGGAAGAGACCAGAGCCTTCCCACTTTGCTTCATGTGAGAAGGTGGCAGTGTGCAATCCAAAAAGAGGGCCTTCACTAAGCACGGAATCTGCCCTCCCGGCACTTGATCTTACACTTTCCAGTCTCCAGAACTATCAGGAATAAATGTCTATTTTTTGTGCCACCCAGTCTGGTATTTTGTTATAGCAGCCCAAGCAGAATAAGACAGTGATGAAATACTGAATAATCAGCAACAAAACAAGGATGTATGCTTTCAATACTTCTATTTTAACATTATACCGAAGGTTCTAGCCATTACAGTAATGTAAGAGAAAAATAAAGGGCATCCAGATAGGAAAAAAAGAAGAAAAACTGATTAAAGTGTGAATGATCTATATTCTCATTATTACAAGACATTCCTGAGAAAAATTAAAGACCTAAATTTTTAAATATAGAAATAACTCATGTTCATGAGTTGCAAGAGTCAATATTATTAAGATGTTAATTCTCAAGTTGTTGTATTTAATGCAATCACAATCAAAATCCTAGCATTTTAATTTTTAGATATTGGTAAAATAATTTTTAAATTTATATAGATACACAAAGGACTTATAAAGGCTAAAAGAATTCCAAAGAACAACAAAAGATAAGGACTAACATTATTTGATTTCAAGACTTTTTGTAAAGCTACAGTAGTCATCAAAGTGATAAATGTAGAACAGAATGGAGAGTCTATAGAAATAAACCCACACATATATGTATAGTTAATATTTGACAAGATGCACATAAAATGTAGTGGAGCACATGCAATCATTTAAACAAATTATGCTGGAATAATTACATATCTATATGTAAACAAAGGAACTTTGATCCATACGTTGCACCATATAAAATAATTGCTTCAAATGGATTGTATATGTACATGTGAAATATAAAATTCCAGGAATATAAGGGAAAATACTTTTGAGCTTGGTTTAGGCAAAGATTTATTAGATAAGGTACCAAACATATGATGTGGAAAGAAATAAATTGATAAGTTGGATTTCATCAAAATTAAAAAACTGCTCTTTGAAAGACTGTTAACAAAATGAAGAAAACAAGCCGTAGACTATGAAAAGATATTTGAAAATGGTATACCTAACAAAGAACTTGTTTTTAGTTCTTTAAAAAATAGAGCATTCGAAAAAATAGAGCATATAAAGTATTCTCAATGCTTAATACTAAGAAAACAACCCAATGAAAATGGGCAAACAATTCAGACACTTATTCAAATAATATATACAGATGGAAAATAAGCACATAGAAAGATTATCAACACCCTGTCACTAGCAAAATGAATATTTAAAGAGCACAATAGGAAACTACTATAGTTCCTGTTAGAATGTCTAAAATAAAAAAGATTATACCAAGTGTTAACAACAAATGCAGAGAACAGCTGAAACTCTTAATACACTGCTGATGGGAATTCAAAATATCACAACCACTGTGGAAAACTGAGAGTTTCTTAAAAAGCTAAAAGTTAAATATTTACTCAAAAGACATGGAGGTATATAACTACACAAAAACCATATGAAGACCAACTGCATGAAAGAAATCAAGGAAAGTATACATATTGTATGATTCCATTTCATAAAACAGGAAATTCAAACTAATAAATAGTAACAGAAAGTAGATCAGTGTATGCCAGGGAGTGGAGGAATTACAGATGGGCATAAGGAAATTTTGGGGGCTGATAATTATGTTTGTTAGGATGATTGTGGTGATGATCTTACAAGTGTGTACATATATCAAAATATTTCAAATTGTACACTCTAAATATGTGCAGTTTATTGCATATCAGTTATAACTCACTAAAGCTGTTAAAATCATTTCAATAAGCATATTTTATGAAGTATATTGATATTAATATCTTGATATATATTAGTAATTATAAAATAGTGGTAATATAATTATATTCAATCTTGTTTTTACAGAACAGGCATGTTGGGAAAGCTCACATCTCCTTGCAATGAAAAATGTAGATGTTCAACTTCAGTTTATAGTTCTGTATGTGGAAGAAATTATATTGAATATTTTTCTCCCTGCTTTGCAGGCTGTACACATTCTAAAATAGTAAACGAACTAAAGGTAATTATTTTAATATGTTTATTCCTCTCCTAGGTCTCTATAAAAGCTTTTTTTCTTATTTTTCATTTTTTAATATTAAAATGAAGAAAAAAATTTTTCTTCATGTTATCACCATACAAACAGCTTATGGAAATTGGGCATGGAATAGATACTCCTGCATTAAAATATGCTTACATATAATATATTATCACAATTTTATAGTTTTAAAACAGGGGAGAACTGTTATCTACCTCTTGCCACAGCAAAGTTGAAAAAAAAAAAAGCCCAAGAGAACATTTTGTCTTCCACTTTTGTAGTTTTTCTTAGTTTTATGGTACCTATCAGCAGTACCCAATCCCCCAAAACCTTGAACTACAATCTTTCCCACACCAAGGGGTTGACCAATACTAGCCATTTAGTCACCTTACACTCAGTTTTTCCTTCTGCTAAGAAATTCAGAGTGTTTACTCTATACCTTGCTGTTTCTCTTTCTGTCTCACCAGAAAAGTAAGAGAGTTAAAGAAGATGCATAGTGTAGTAATATAAGTGATGTGAAACTGAGTATATGTTATTCCTGCTTGTCCTTTGGCATTTACATGAATTGGGACCATTTCAAAAATTCCTTATTTGTTCATTTTTTGTGGCCATTACCATGAGAATCTTTTATTTCCCTGGGCCTTCTACCATCTCCTAACACATTTTCTTATTTTGTTATGGAAAGCAGTTGACCACTTGACTTGTTTGGGTTAATTTTTTTAATATCCAAAGTTTCATATATAAGTACAATAATGGACTCTCTACTACATTTTTACCTTTTAAGTTGCACAGAAGTATGGACATAGGCTCTTAATATTCTGTTCCTCTTTCCCTGTTCTGGCTAGTCCTTGTGAATGGGAGAGAGCAGCAAAGAGGTTTATTTTCTGATTGATGGGCATGCCATCTCCTTTAATAGGTGATAAAGTCCTTTATTAATTTTATACCCATCTAACAATATATTTTACTGTTATACACATATAAGAAATTAGCATACCTGACCAACTTTAATTTAGTTCCCCAGAGTAATGTTTTCACTGGCTTACAATTTAATAATATATATTCAGATTTTTATTGAACATTCATATAAAAAAGGTTATGTACCCTTTTTTAAAAACCTTTCTTCTTAAATGTTATACAATATGCTTAAAATCTTTAAAATATGCTACCATGAAAAGTTTTAAATGTAACAAAAAATAATGAACTTCCATATATCAATAATTTATTAAATTATAGAAAATTTATTAACTTATGGAAAATCTTGCTTTATCTATATTCCACTTACTTCTGTCCTCCACTTTATTTTATAGTAGTACATAAATGATTTTTTAATGCTCACCATGTCATCACAATTTACACCAGAACTGTTTGACCTCGATGTTTAGATTCCATGGGACATTCAAGAGCTAAACAGGCCATCCATTATATAGCTCCAAGCCCTCTTTCCTTTTTGGGGGAATCCCCTTTATGGAATTTCCTTCTGTTTCATGAAGCTCTTCATAATTTTCTTATATTTAACTAAGGAATAATTAATGCATAATGAATAATAGTGATAGAAATAATCCACAAAATAGCCAAATTGTGTGATAACATTTGATACTTAATAAAAATTGAAAGAAGAAACAAATATTTTTCTTGAAGAAAATATTTTTTTCATAAAAATTGAAAGAAGAATAAAATAGATCTGTCAGAAATTACCCAAGAGGACAAGTATCCTTTATGAAAATAATGTCTCCAAAGGAAAACTTAACAATAGCAGAAACTGTTATTAACAGTATATCACTAATTAATAAAATGTGGTATATATGTATACTATAAGAAACAGTGGTGATATAGCACCTCTTGTATTTTCCTGGATAGAGCTGGAACCCATTCTACTAAGTGAAGTATCCCAAGAATGGAAAAATAAGCACCATATGTACTCACCAGCAGATTGGTTTCACTGATCAACACCTAAGTGGACATATAAGAATAACATTCATCAGGCATCAGACAGATGGGAGGGGGGAGGAGGGGATGGGCATACACATACATAATGAGGGCGATGTGCATCGTCTAGGGGATGGACACGCTTGAGCTCTGATGGGGGGGCAGGAGGAGGGGCTAAGAGCAATATATGTAACCTAAACATTTGTACCCCCAATAATATGGTGAAATTAAAAAAACACTAGTATGTCACCAATCATCAGGGAATTTTCCTCCCAAACTTCCATCATTGAGATTTATTCCAGCTGATATTTTGCAGATTCCATAAGGATCTTTTAATTTCACAGACAAGACAGGAGAATTTTGTCTTTTAATTACTACTAAAAACATTACTTCTGCTACCTTTCTAGTTACAGTCATTTCCAGACCCAAAATTTCCTCCTGTCATTCCTTGAGGATTTTAAGCCCTGGTTCACTGACACCCTTTCTAATTATCTAAAAGTATCAATAAGTATCTTAGCCCAATCTGTGTTGTTATAACAGAATACCACAGACTGGGTAAATTTATATGGAAAACAAGTTTATTTCTCACAGTTCTGGAGGCTGGGCAGTCCAGTGGTGGTGATGGTGGCATTGTTTCTAATACCATGTTTAGTGATGTTGAAATTTATCTTCAAACTCTTTCTAAAGTACTCTACTCTTATAATTATTTGACTTATATTTCCCCAGTAATATTGTTTGCATCTAACATCCTTCCATAGTCACACTCTAGGCCTTTTATTTTCAATAACTTTGCTTCTTCCAAGATCTCAATTTCAGTCAATCCACTATTAAACTACAACTTCCTCTCTTGCACCTCACTCTTTCTGGTACATGAACTCTTCAAGTCTTTAGCCCTTCCAGAGCTTAATATCTCCTAATTCTGCCATCGGTTCACTAAACCTTCTTTATGTTTTTACTTCTACCCTTAGTTGGCTTAAATTCCATGACCTGCAATGATTTGTTTTGCTAGATATCTTTATCTATTCTCTAGAGCCACTTTTCAACTTCTCTACCATGCTCATTGTCCCAAGGTACTGAGCTGTAGGATGAGAGCTCCTTTGCCCTCTGGCTTCTGATGGAATTAAGAAAATAATGAGTGCAATGCTAGCAAAAAAAAAAAAAAAAAAAATCAGAAAGAGGGGGGAAAAATGAAGCTGTGGTGTTTATTTTCTTGGTTCTCTCTGTGAACCATGAACTGTCTGCCTCCCTTGACTGAAGGCCTTGGTTTCTCTCAGGGAGGCCCTTTTTATATGAATTTTTCTTTCTGGTAACCATTTCCACTCCAGAATGTTTTAGCAAGACATTTTACATCTACTTTCAAAGACAATGCTGAATTTGACCATTTTCATCATTTTTTCTGTTACTGTCCTGACCCCAAGTACTATGGTCTTGCACCTTATTTCTATTGCTTTTTAACTGTTTTATCTGCTTTTACCTTTGCCTACATAGTCCAGTAGTCTCAGTATAGCAGCCAAAGTGATATTTTAAAAGATGTCATTTATATTACATCTCTCCAATGGCTTCACATCACTAAGAATAAAAACCAAAGTTCTTGAATTGCTGTTGTAATTACCTACCAATTTATGTATAATCAACCCTTCCTCTGCCATCCTGATTTTATTTTCTCTTAGTCTCCTTCTTTTTCATTCTGCTCCAGCCTAGGCTGTTCTCCTTGCTTTTCTTTGAACTTGTCAAGCAAGCTCTAGCACAAGACTTTTCAAGTACTTTGTTTTTCTACTTGGAACATACTTCTTCCAGATAACCACATGGTTCACTCCCTTACCTTATTCAAATCTCTGCTAAGATATCACTTCATCATTAAGGCATTCCCTGATATGTTAAGTATACCCTTATACCCCTCCAATATTCCCTATAATTTTTCCCTGCTTTATTTAAAATTTCATTTTATTCTTTACATTATCTTTCATTGCCCTCAATTGCCTTCTTTATGACATTGAATATAAATATTTTGAAGGAACTTTCTTAAATTAATAGAACTTTTCCTAAATAACTATAATTACACATATATACACAACACGCACACTAATTTTGTTTTTTGGTTGGCATATTCTCTTTTAATCACAAATTTTTTAGAGGGGAGGGGGATTGTGGTGGAAGGAGGACATGGACACAGACGGCAGGTTTTACTTTTCCTAAATACTAGCCACACGGTTTGTCAAATTGGATCAGGCAAGGGCATAGCAATACATGTGACATTTGGCAGAAAACACCAAGATCTAAATCATTTCAAATACATTTACATGTCATCCATATTTTCAGTGTTAATTTATATTTGTAATTTTTAAAACATTTTTTATCTCAGCATATTATGGGGGTATGTCAGGCAAAATATCTTGGATTTATCATTAATGTTTTATTTCTAAATAAATTGCAGGCTTAATGTAAGGATATTTATTAATAAAACTAGCCAGTCTCCCTACAGTTATTGATTTAATTTTTATTATGTGAGTTTTTGTTTCATGACTATATTTTTGAAAGATTGCTTCTCTTCCTCAATATTTGTAGATGTACTACAATTGTTCTTGCATTAAAGAAGGATTAATGATCTCAGAGGGAGAAGGTGTACTTATTGATGCCTTACCTGGGAGATGTGATGCAAAATGCTATAAATTACCTTTGTTAGTTGCTTTTTTCTTGTCTATAATTATATTTTCTGGCTTTTCTGATGTACCACTCACCATGGTCATCATTCGGTATGTATACATTATTCAAAATCATTATCCATTTAATACATTAGAAAAGTGATTTGGGGAAAATTTTACAATATTGTAGTGAATGATTTGTTCTGTGTTTCATGGTAGCAAAGGCAAAGAAGAAAACTGTTACATTGTCAAAATTTATGTATATACTTAATTCTCTCTTTTAACTAGTTTATTTGCATAAAGTAAATAGATATTACATTTAGTTTAACTTAAAACAAGGTATTTACTTAATTTAACACACATGGAAAATTCATAAATATAAGAAATTCTTAATTATAACACGTATTTAGTTATAATGTTGATTCATTGGTTAAAGAAATTTATTGACTATTTACTTCTATATTGGCCCATTTGACTATGAGAAACATCAGCATCATCAATACAGGAACATAATAACTTTTAGAATTTCAGTACATAAGTTTATTATTATTCTAAATAGAATTGACATTTATTATTCATATGTTCTTTCTCAACATATGAAATCTACTTTATATTCATTTTTATCATAGTAACAATAATTGGCCATTATTTTCCATTTTTTTTCCAAGATGCTAAAAGAAAATTTTTAGTCATGAGGAGCTTGTACAGGCTGATGAGGTAACAAAGTGAGAAAAATGATAATCTAAAAATGATAATCCATCTATCTAAGATGATTTGAAAAGTGCTGTAGGAGGTATGACTTGAACTGGGTTATGAAGATAATTGATTTCTCAAATTGCAAGCGGTTTGTGGGCAAGGCCTTATTAGGAAGAGTGAGCAGTGAAAGTAGAGGCAAAAATGTATGAAATATATTGTTGAGAAGTTCATTATGACAGGAATAGCATTATGATGAGTGAAACAAGGAGTTTTGAGGTAGGTAAGGGTCTGATTATGAGCAGCCTTGTGTTGCCATGCTAATGTGAAGATAAACTAATGGCCAAGAAACATGAAAAAATGCTCAACATCTCTAATCATCAGGGAAGTGCAAATCAAAACCACAATGAGATATCACTTATCTCCAGTGAGAATGGCCTTTATTAACAAGTCCCAAAACAATAAATGTTGGTGTGGATGTGGAGAGATAGGAAGACTCCTACAGTGCTGGTGGGACTGCAAACTAGTTCAACCTCTGTGGAAAGCAATATGGAGATACCTTAAAGCGATACAAGTAGATCTACTATTGCTGGGTATCTACCCAAAAGATCAAATGACAGTCTACAAAAAAGACACCTGCACTTGATTGTTTATACCAGCACAATTCACAATTGCAAAGATATGGAAACAACCGAAGTGCCCATCAATACATGAGTAGGTTAATAAAATGTGGTATATGTATACCATGGAGTTCTACTCAGCCACAAAAAAACAATGGTTATCTAGCACCTTTTGTATTTTCCTGGCTAGAGCTGGAACCCATTCTATTAAGTGAAGTATCCCAAGAATGGAAAAATAAGCACCACATGTACTCACCAGAAAATTGGTATTAACTGATTAACACATAAGTGGACATATAGGAATAACATCTATTGGGTGTCGGGCAGGTGGGGGGGAGGGAATGAGTATATACATACATAATGAGTGTGATGCACAACAACTGGGGGATGGACCCGCTTGAAGCTCTGACTCGAGGTTGGGGGGCAAGGGAAATATACATAACCTTAACACTTGTACCCTCATAATATGCTGGAAAATAAATAGATAAATAAATAAATACCATAAAAGCCAAAATAAATACCATCAAAGCCAAAGACATAAATTATGAAATTACTATCAAATAAGTGATAATTAAAGCCATGAAAGTGAGGTAGAATGCAGAAGTTTGCAGCAGGCCAATTCCCCTACAGAGAATAACTAGAAAGCTGGGTTAAATGATAAGAATCAGATATTTAAAGTCAGAATGAGGCAAATGACTAGAGAGATTAAAATTCCAGATAGGGCAGAAGTGATTAGAGGTGAGCTATGCATCTCAAGCTGTCCCTGAGATACTTGCCAAATTCTTGATGCAAGCTAGCTGCTGACAGTGGGCTCAGACCCAAGTCAAGGGGCACTACTGGAGGACAAGCAAACTGGCAGAGTTTCTGGTGATCACATGGGACTAAAAATGATAAAATTATTTTTCTTCTCAAGAAATTTGCTGAAATCTAAAGCAGTTTAAGACTTAAGCATAAACAGAAAAGACTCATGATTTATCTGTATCTTTTCCATTGAAGTGCTCATTAAGAAAAACTAATTTCAAGGTTACATACGTAACCTTAACACTTGTACCCCTATAATATGCTAAAATAAAAAAAAAGAAAAACTAATTTTTCAACTTTTTCCCTTCCACCCCTCATTGTTTTAAGATATTATACTAATGTCTCCCTAATTATGATAGTCACTGGGGATTCAAACAAGAAAGTGGGTAAGCACGTTGAGGGAAAAGAAGTAGGATAAAAGAGGAACTAAAGCAACCAGGTCCCTGCAATTCTGAATAGTGTTAGAGGTAGCACTGTAGAGAAAAAAAAATGTAGTTACATTAATAAGCATTTTTGTAATATGAGAATATACTCCAAATAAAATGTAGAAAAATGCTATGAGAAAATTATAGAATGATCTAACTTAGTCTGGGGATTTAGGGAGGGTATCACTGAAGATATGATGTTTGGGCTAAACCCTAGATGGAAGATGAGTATTTCACACAGTGGGAACAATATAGGCAAAGATTCTGGTAGGAGAAGTAGCTTTGTAAGAGTGTTTTATTATAGAATACAGTGAACAAGGGTGGTGATGAGGGCAAAAGTTTGGAGGTGACATAGCATAAGACTGATGAGATCCAGCTGACCACAGCGAGTTTTTTTTTGTAATTGTAGATTTTATTCTAAGAATGATGGGAAGCTATTGAAGGATCCTAGTATAAGGCAGTGTAGCAATCAGAATTTCATCTTGAAAAATCACTTGCACTCTTATATGGAGAGTGGACTGAGTAGACAAGATGATTGTTAGAAGATAAATTAGAAAGTTGTTTCATTTATTTCACACAAAAGATATAGGCATGAAATAAGCCCGTGGAATTAGAGATGTAATAAAAAAGGCAGAAAAGAGAAAGATGAAAAAAATGTTTTGTTTTGTTTTTTTAAAAATCACAGTATTTGCTTACTGATTGGCTGTGGTGCATGAGAAAAAGGATCTCATTCCAGGCTCTGGGCTTGAGAAGTGCATGAGTGATGGCTCTACTTTTTGAATCAGGGAGCATCATGGGTAGAGCAAATTTTGTGCATGACAAGAATTTATGCCTAACACTGATGTCTTATGAGAAAGATAGGGACTAAAAATGTAAATTTGTAAGTCACATAAAACATGGTGGAAGCTTTTTTTACATTTTGGAAGAGTGCTAGCAATTTTTGTTTGTTTGTTTAATGAAATTCTGAAACCATGCAGTTATAGCCTTACTCATTAAATGAGATGAAAATTTTTAAAAAGTATTCACTTTGTTGTGAAAACATAGTAAGTTTTCATTAAAATTTTTGTATACATACCTATTATTTATTTTGTGCTGTTCATTTACCTAATTTGGGAAAATCCTACAAATCATTAATCTTTTCATCTTGGTTTGTATATTCACTAGAAAGAGGGTTGTAATCAAACAGAAGATACACAAATACTAATTAATGATTACACTTTTGAGTAGTGTTCGGCTATATATATGCTTCAGATAGCACCAATATCATATCATATACAAGAAAACTAAATGAAGCAGAACATTCAATTATACTTAAGCATATAGCCAACATTTCCACTTTATATCAAAACTTTATACTAAACTTTGGTTCTAAAATATGACACTTTACTTTTTTTTAACTCTCTTTAATGAATCTGCTTGTTATAAAAGTATAAGTTATTTTTTATTTAAAAATGTAATTATCATTTGAGGATTGGATAATTTGTCTCATTTTCCTAGTAGTAAACATTTGAGGAAGAAAAATATATTTTTACCATGTTGATATGGGTAGAAATACCTTACCTTTTGCAAAATATCACAAAATCTGTACATATGCTACATTTTTATAAATTGGATAATTTTGGATGAAATGTTGATCATACTACAGTTTATTGTTCAAGTTCTAATACAAAGAAAGAAAGGGTAAGCATAGAGTTTATTTAAAATGTCTATTAAAATGTAGCACTTATTTTTTAGCTTTCTAAAATGTTCAAAAATTATTCTTAATTGTATCTTTTAATTTATTTTCCAAACTATGGATAGGTACTTTTATTAATTGTTTTTCTTTTTTAAACAAATACTTGCTTTGATCAATAGGAAATACTGGGATCCTCATTCTTTATGTTTGGAAAGGGTATTTTTCATTTATCTTAGCTTTTAAATAGTGAGTATAATAGTCACAAGTCCAACAAGAGATGGCACCCTCAAATTAGGATACTTGGAGTAAGGTTAGATAAAGTGGCTGTTTAAAATGTGGGTAGGGTATACAGGAATTCCAAGGTAAAGTGAAGTAACTCTGGGATGTTATCACCCCAGGCCCAAAGGGAAACAAAGAATGGGAAAGAGAGAGACTTGAAAAGAGGACTGTTTTGCCTTAGGACCCAGTCAGCCTGAGGTCACTGCAGGGAGGGAGGCTCAGAATGAACACCCTGACCTCACTTCCCTCCATAACCCAATCAGAAGTGTGAAGGCAAGAGAACCTATTGATGTAGTTCATTTAGGCCAGCTTTCCAAGGCAGAGGGTAAGGTGGAAAAATGTGTAGAGAGGATCCCACAGGGGCAAAAATAAATCTAAAACAATGGATATGCACAACAGAATGAAGAAAGGTAAGTATGAAAGCTAGTGCTAAGTATTTCTGGCAAAGGAAAAGGAGGCTGAAGCAGAGGATTTGAACCGTAAAATTCTTCCTCCTTGGAAAGAGCACGGAACTTTGGAATTGGTTGGCAAGGGGCAGGATATAGAGAAATGGGAAAAGTTGCAGTCCTTTAATAGGCCGGAACGAACTCTGTCAGCTGGCTAAAGATGCTTCGTATAACTAATGCACAAGAAAAAAAAATTAACCTTGAACCTAGCATACATTCTCTATAGCTGATAATAATGATGTGCTGATATCATTGCCATTTGCTTTCAGGACTTTACCTGACAAACTGCGTTCTGTGGCCTTGGGTATGAGCTATGTGACTATAAGAATATTTGGTATGTATTTTTGGCAATCTTTTATTATATCAAATTGTTTCTTTTTGATATGTATATGTGTCTACAGGTATGAATATATAGAATTATAAATATTCATAGTTAAATGACACAAAGTGAGTGAAAGGGAGAACTGCTTTACAGAATTTAGAGATAGTTAATATAAAGAGAGAATACCTAATGCAAAGCTCATCCTAACTGTCATACAAAAAAATACATTATATTTGATCAGAAGAGACAATCTGTTTAATCTGAAATATATTCATCATCTCATACAAGTGGTTTGGTCAGTTCATACAAAACACTTGTATAATTACAGCAACTGTATTTCACACTGCTTGCATGTTTGGGAAGGCACTAACCCAGACTACAGCTTTTGAATGTTTTACTTACCAAAGACACCACATCTGATGTTCTTAAAGATTTATTTGTTCCTAAGAACAAAATGGTTTTGCTGAGGATAATACACTCTTTGCCTTGCTTTTCTTAAATAGCAAAACCTAGATTTCAAATCCACATTATGACTATATCAGAACTTCTGATTCAAGAAGTTGATTAAAAATATTGGAGGGGTAAGGAAACATGATTAGACTTGATTGAGGACTGAAAGACATGCGATTAAAGAATGTAGAAAAATCTGCATGTGCCTCTGATATGGGATAGAGAAATCACTCTATAGCTAGATCCACATGTGTGATTAAAATTAGCTTTTTGAAACGGGAAAAATGGGAGCGTATTTTTGTTTTGGACAATGATCCACTTGATAAGAAAAGAGTTGTAATGGAAGAAGTGGTGTAGGAAACAGCCAGTGCACATGTAATTTCCTGCAAAAAGAAACCGGTGAGGCTGATGTATTTTTGAAAGGGAGAGGGTAAAATAAGATGATAGATACAGATATAGACTATCTCTAGATATTGCAGGGTAGTCACTAGAGAATTTTAAGCAGACGATAGATATTATCTGATCTATGTTTAAAAGATAACTTTGCTGCAGGAGGGAAGAAATACTTATAAGCGATAATGCAGAGGAAAAGAAAAGGGAGACTTTTGCTTGCTGAAGTCTAAGAGTTATACAATAAATTGGATTCCAGGAGTTGTAGTGGAGATAGAAAGCAATGTATCCAAGATATGTTTGGAATTAGTGTTACAAAGATTCATGATGGGCCAGGCGCAGTGGCTCATGCCTGTAATCCTAGCACTCTGGGAGGCCAAGGTGGGTGGATCATTTGAGCTCAAGAGTTCGAGACCAGCCTGAGCAAGAGTGAGACCCCATCTCTACTAAAAATAGAAAGAAATTAGCTGGACAACTAAAAATATATATTAAAATAATTAGCTGCGTATGGTGGCACATGCCTGTAGTCCCAGATACTCAGGAGGCGGAGGCAGGAAGATCACTTAAACCCAGGAGTTTGAGGTTGCTGTGAGCTAGGCTGACGCCATGGTACTCTAGCCGGGGCAACAAGAGTGAAAGACTCTGTCTCAAAAAAAAAAAAAAGATTCATGATGGATTGGACAAAGATGGCAGGAAATAGAAAAAGTGAATTAGTAGCCTAGAATTTTCACTTTGACCAACTATAAAAAGAATATAATCATTCATGGAGATGGGGAAATCTAGATAATGAGCAGGAATCAGGAGTCATGAGGCAAGAGGGCCTCTGATATTTGTTTAAAGAAGATGGTCAACCATCAGAGATATTTTTTAGCTCTGAGAACTTGATTCTGGTGTCTTTAAGGTGAGAGAGAGAGAGAGAGGAAGAGAGAGAGAGAGAAAGGCAGTGTGTGTGTGTGTGTGTGTGTGTGTGTGTGTGTTTATATGTGACTGTTCAATCACTTTTAGTTGAAAATAACATCGTTGCTGAGGAGATGTTGTCTCTGAGAATATGTAAAGTTTTGTCTCAGGCAGCACAGCTATTCCTTTGAATCTGAGGTGATCTGAATCTGGGGCTACTATAAACACACTAAAGCATTTGCATTTTCAGTTATTTTTCTCAATCTTGATAAATAACACATATATGTGGCAAACTCATCTTTCAGTCATTGAAAATTTCATGGAGATTTTTGAAGACATACTGAGTTCATAAAAATCAGTATTTGGTATCTCTGTTGTAAATACTTTCTCCTAAATTTTAAAGCATAAATCAACAAAAATTTTGAGATGCCATCTAAATAACAGCATGTATGACATTCTAAAAAGATGCAAATGTACTAAATGTTTTACATCTATAGGCATACAGATGTTTTGAAAACTCACATTGTTTTTCAGTAGTTATCAATACTGTGTAAATTATTAGATAATTTTAAACGGCATGCTTATATTATGATTCATCTCATATATATGTGTGTGTGTGTATGTGTGCATATATATGTATATATAAAACATGTTTAATTTTAGAAGAAAATAATTTTGATCCTGACCTATAGTGTTTTCACTTAGAATTTATGATCATTGTATTTTTCGTAGGGACTATTCCTGGACCACTACTTTTTAAATCGTCAGGAGAAGATGCTTGTAGTTTTCGGGATATGGATAAATGTGGACGCACAGGACGTTGCTGGATCCATGACAAAACAAAAATAGCCCACCTATTGGTAGGAATATGTAAGTGATACCTATTGAAGAAACATAGAGAAATAAAATTTTTTTCAAAACTTATAGCTGTGGAACCTGTGCCCTCAGGCTGGGCCCGGCCGGACACCCATACCCCTCCAGGGGTCCGGCAGAGGGCAGTGACCGTCACCCTCTGTGCGTCCTGGGCCCACCTGAGAAACAGGTACCATGGCTGCTGAGTAGCACTCAGTCAGCTGAAGCCCCCATAGGATCAGTGGGGAGTGGGCCCTTAGGAGAGGGGCAAGCTGCTGTAGTCCTTGTTTGGGCCAAAAGTGCGATGCCACAGAGCAGGGGCATGTGGCAGACCAAGGAATTCAACTTAGGAGAGACTTCCAGAAGCAGCAGAGAGCCAATGGGTCTGTTCCTGCAACTCCAGGGCCAGTGAATAGCCGGCAGGAGCTCCCAGCTCTATGCCCATAGACAGCTCTTTGGCCTGATATCACAATTTGGTCACTTCAGGCCAGTGCCTACCTAGCCTAACAAGGGAAAGCCATCAGCCATGTTGTGAGGACACTTAAGCAGCTCCATGGCAAGAACTTCATGGCAAGGAATTGAGAGATCTCCTGTAAACAGCCAGTATCAACTCTTGCCAGTCGTGTGAGTGAGCCATCTTTGAAGCAAAGCATCTAGACCCAGTCAAGCTTTCAGATGATTACAACCTAATGAAGGACCCTGAGTTTGAGCCATCGAGTTAAGCTGTTCCAAAATTCCTGACCCATAGGAATTGTATAAAATGATAAATACTGGTTTGGGGTATTGTTTTTGTTTTTTGAAACAGAGTGTCACTCTATTGTCCAGGCTGGAGTGTAGTGGCACAATCACAGCTAACTGTAACCTTGAACTTCTGGGCTCAAGTGATCATCCTGTCTCAGTCCGCCAAGTAGCTGGGACTACAGGTGCGTGCCACTGTGCCCAGCTCTTGGGAGGAGCAACTTTTTAAGGAGATGATCAAAACTTCAGTTTTGGACATATAACCTTGACATAACATCAACTAGACAGTTAAATGTATGTGCCTTTGTGAGTCAGAAGAGAAAACGGGGCTGGAAATAAAAAATGGAATCATTAATGTATAGATCAAATTTAAAACTAAGAGACTCGAGATCACCAAGGGATTCAGTGAAAACAGAGAAGAGGTTCAAGTACTGAACTCTGGGCCTCTCCACTGTAAGAACTGCAAAGAGGACCCAGAAGGAGCAGCCTGTGAGGTCAAAGGAGAACCAAAAAAGGAGAGTGGTGTATCAGAAGCCAAAAAGAGAAAATGTTTCAAGAAAGAGGAAATAATCAAATGTATCAATTGCTGCTATGGGTAAAGTGAAATGATACTGGTGACCTTGATGGGAGCAGTGTTAGTGGAATAATAGAGGCAAAAGTCTGGTTGAAATGGGTTCAGGAGAGAATGGGAAGAAAGCAGAGAGAGGCTATGGCAGAGACACTTACTATTTACCACATATCCATGAGCTCCCCACATTCCCCAGCCTCCCTGGCCATGTTGCTAGTTCTAGCCAATCTGGACTCTGAAGTATTTAAGAGCTGGTATGTGATCCTCCAGCTCTGTCTTTCCCTGCCAGGTGATGTGGAAGGCATGTGTTCCACATGGCGGAGCTTAGTAGCCTGGATTCCTGAATCACTTTTGGGAAGGGAGCTCCTCTGAATTTTCACTAGACCCACAGTATATTTTGTGTGAGCAAAAAATAAGCATTTATGTGTAAAGCCTCTACTATTTTGGCATTCATCTATTATACAGCATAGACTAGCATACTTAATACAAATTCCAAATATTAAAAAAAAACAAACTTATAGTTGTTTATAGTAAGGTAGAATTATAAAAAAAAATGAATAAAATAGATACTTTGAGGATTAAGAGAGGCTTGTATTATTATATAGAAAATATTTTAGAAACTAAAGTACTATAGAATTTATGTATGTATTTGAATCAGTGCATTAAATATACAATAGTTCTATGTTATTCCCAAATGAAGAGTGATAATGAGCAGAATTTTAGTTTGGGAAGTAATTTTGTCTGTATACATATATAACCAGATTTCTTGACTGTAACCCTTTCCATCACCACAGTGAAAGATTGTATAAATTTGAACAAAATTTTTGCCACACTAAAAAACATCAAGCTACCCTTATCTCACTTAACTATAAATTTCACATTTTCTGTTTGCTCAATGATGTAACAGTGTGTAGATCATAATAAACATTCAGTATTTGTTGAATAAATAAGAGATGCAGGGAATTGAGATGATGTGGTAATAAAAGCTATGGCCAAGTGTTGAGAACATCTGAATATTTTGTGTTACTCTGGAAAATTCACTGGATCTTCTTAGACCTTAATTTATTCATCTGTTAAATGAGGATATTGTACAGTATAATTTCTGAAGTCTTCATCAACACATTCAATGACTATGTTGTATAAGTACTTTTTGTGTGATAAATATTTTAAAGTGTTTATATGTTTTGTGATTTTACTGAGTAGGTTCAGTAAGTCAAAGAACCACATAATGATAGACTCTAATATTTAACAGTAACAAATATCTGTTTGATAAAAATATAGAGCAATGCTTTCTAATTCAGAAGTTAATCACTCAGCAAGCTTAGCTGAGTAAAGTAAAAAAAAAAATCAAAAAGTCCAAATGACATTTAAGAAGTCAAAATTAATTTTTCAGAGATAATTCAACAAGATCAGGAATTGTTCTTGAGGAAGGCTTAAACCATTGCTGAGACTTGTTATTTTACATGTAATTGTAACATGGTGAGCTATTTTTAAGCATAGTACATAATAGAGAAAGTTGGTGAACTATTAGACAGTCCACTAAGGACCTACTAAAAGAAATATAAATGATGAAGAACATAAAGATTTATAGTCAAATAGAAGGGGGATTGATAGGAAATTGCAATAGAAATATGTTTGTGGCAAGAGTGTAAGTTAGTATATTTTAAAATGCATTTAATAGGCTATTTGAATCAGAATCAATTGGAGTTCTTATTAATATTAATGATATAAATTCTGAGGCCCTAAATTAGAATTCCAGGGATTGGAGGAGATCAGCTAGATGGAGGAATAGGACTTTCTAGCACTCATTCCCTCATAGAAACATCAATTTGACCAACTATCCACACACAAAAATACCTTTGCAAAAGCTAGGGAAATTAGGTGAGAGAATAGAGCAGCGGTCCCCAACCCTTCTGGCACCAGGGACTGGTTTTGTGGAAGACAATTTTTCCATGGACAATTTTCCACCTGGGGGGGTGGGGAGAGGGGCGAGGGGGGAGGGGGAAGGGTGGAACTCAGGCAGTGATGTGAGCAATGGGGAGCAGGTATAAATGCAGATTAAGCTTCACTGGCCCTCCTGCTCACCTTCTCCTGTGCAGCCCCCTTGCTTCTAAGTTTCATGGAAGACAATTTTTCCACAGATGGAGGGGTGTGGGCCTCAGAGCTCTGCAGCCCGGTCCTTAACAGGCCATGAAAAGGTTGGGTCCGTTATCCAGGGGTTGGGGACTGCAGAAATAGAGCACCTGTGTGTAGCACAAAAATAAGAGAAGGCTCACTGAAGAGAATAGGAAGTACAGTTTCACATTATTCACATCGACCCCTCCCCCAAGCCTGGCAGCACAATGTAGAAAGATATCCTCTGCAAGATACCCTCCACGTAGAGAAATGAAAACTAAGTGTGCACTTGACTTTGCCATGGACCCCAAACCAGGCCTGTCTCAGCGAAACACAGCTCTAGGCTGTCCCCCACAGTCCCAGGCTCCAGGCTGGCAGCAGTGGACTGAACCTCCAGGCCTTCTCCAACTACACACTGACTCCCACAACCCTAGACATCAGGCTGGCACCTACAGACCCTACTTATAGGCCTGCCCCACACAAGACTGGCATCCACAAACTTCAGCTCCAGGCCAGCACCTGTGGCCCTAGACATCAAGCTGGCTTCTGAAGCTCAAGGCTCCAGGCTGGCAATTACAGACCCAGTATCCAGGCCAGCCTTTGCAGAATGCAAGCCCCAAGCCCACTCCTGTGGTCTCAGGCTCCAAAATGGTTTTCTGGTAGACCCAGGGTCCAGCTCTATGCTAGTAGACCCTGGTGCTTACTGAGCCTCTGCAGACCCAGGCTCCAGAACTACCCCTGCAAATGCAGGACCAGGCCCATGCACATAGACTCAGGCCCAAAACCTGCCCTGGTGCCATATCAGCCCCCAAGGACCTAGGCTTCAGGCTGGCCCCATAGACTCAGGGTCCAGGCCTACCTTCATAGGCCTAGTTAACAGGACCATGCCAGTGGATGCAGACTTCAGGTCCAATCCTGTGGGCCCTGGTTCCAGGCTAGTTCCTATGGTGCTGGGTCAACCCATATGCTGACCCAGGCACCATATCAACCTACCCAAAGACTCCAGCAGCAAGCCTGCCCATGGACCCTGCCAAACAGCCTTCCCAGAATCTCTGGACCAACTGATTAGTGAAAGGCTTTCCCTGCTGAATCCAGTATACAAAGACTAGAATGAATGCCTACTTCTTCAAAAGTGCAGACTTTAATGCATGGCCACAAAGATCACAAATAATCAGGAAAATATGACACCAACAGAGGAACAAAATGAAGCACTGGTAACAAACCCTAAAGAGATGGAGACTCAGGAACTACCTCATAGAGAATTCAAATTAGTTATCTTAAAGGAACTCAGTAAGCTACATGAGTACAGAGAAAGACAACTAAAAAAATCAGAAAAATTCACAAGCAAAATGAAAAATTTGACAGAGATAAAAACCATAAAAAAAGGACCAAACAAGATTCTGTAGCTGAAGAACACAATAACTAAGCTGAAAAATTTCATAGAGAACTTCAACAGCAAATTCAATCAAGTAGAAGAAAGAATCAATGAGCCTTTAGATAGGTCATTTGAAATTACCCCATCAAAGAAATAAATTAATTAATTAAAAGAATGAAAAACAGAGAAGAAAACCTATGGAAATTATGAAACATGATCAAGGAAACCAGTTTATGCATTATGGGAGTCCAAGAAGGAACAGAGAAAGAGAATGGGGAAAAAGGTTATTTAAAGAAATAATAACAGAAACTTCCCAAATATGGAAACAGAAATGAACATTTGGATCTATGAAGCCCAAAACCCATCAAATAGATAAAACATAAAGAAATCTTCACCGAGACACACTATCATCAAATTCTCAAAAGTCAAAGACAAGGAGAATTTGTAAAGCAGCAAGAGAAAAGCAATTCATCACATACAATGGAACTTCTATCTATTAAGTAGATTTCTCAGCAGAAATCTTGCTGGCTGAGAGAGTGAAATGATACATTTAATATGTTGAAAGAAGAAAACTGCCAACCAAGAATACTATACCTGGCAAGACTGGCAGGTATAGTAAACAAAGGAGAGATAAGACAAACAAAAGGTAAGGGAATTGACCACTAGACCTGCTTCCAAGAAATACTCAAGGGAGTTCTTAAAGTTAAAATGAAAGAATGCTATCTAACCATATGAAAACATTAAAAGGTATAAAACTCACTGCTGAAAGTAAATGCATAGTCAAATTTGGAATATTGCAATACTATAGTGATGATTCATAAATCACTTTTAACTCTACTGTAAAACTTAAACAACAAAACTATTAAAATAACTACAGTTACAGTAATTTTAAGGGATACATGATATATATAAAAGATGAAAATTATGACCAATAGTATAAAATAGGGGAGGCAGAGAAGGGAAATGTAGAGTTTTTGTAAGTGGTGGAAGTTAAGTTGTTATCAGCTTAAAACAGATTGTTGTAACCATAAGATATTTTATATAAGACTTATGGTAACCACAAAGAAAAAAACATGTAGTATATATACTAAAAAAATAAAAACAAAGGAGTAAAGGAATGCTACTACAAAAAAATCTTCAAATTACAAAGGAAGACACAAAGAAAGGAAGAATGGAACAATGTGGAAGACAGGGGAAAAGGTGAAAAAGAACTACTGTCCAAAATATATAAAGAACTCTCATAAATCAATATGAGAGAGATAGATAGCAAAGAGATAGATAACCTAATGGAAATGTGGTTAAAAGACTTGAAAGAATTCTTCACATAAGTAGATAACCAGATAGCCAGTAAACAATAGATTGGATAATAAATTGTGATGAATTCAACAGTAGAATACTATACATGATATTTTTTCTAGTCAATTTCCCTACCCCCCAGATGAACTCTTTTCAGATTTCTCTTAAAACATTTGAGTCTTGTCTGCTCTAGAAACTTACATAAATGGAATGAAGTTTGCACTCTTTTTTTGGTTTACCTTGATAATGTTATGATGTGGGAGGTTTATACATGTTTGTTCTAGAGCAGTAGTTTCTGTTTTTTAAAAATTGCTGAGTACTACTTCATTTTGTGAATATACTACAGTTTATGTATCTATTCTCTTACTAATGGACATTTGGATTATTTACAGGATTTGGTTATTATAAACAAGGCTGCAATGCACATTCTTATACTAATGTTTTCATAGACATGTTTTTGTAGGGTTTTTTTTTGATAAATATCTAAAAGTCGAATTGGTAGGTCATAGAGGTTGAAATTCACTGGGACTTCTCTTATGACCTATGAGATGCTCTATCTTCATGAACTATCCACATGCACATAAAAATGCATCTTTGCAGTTATTTGGCATCATCTTTTGTTATTATCAATTAGATCAATTTGTATTATTCAGATCATATTCAGATTATATAATTACTAATGTTTTTGTATTTATGTTCTATAACTGACTTAAGAGACATTAAATTTGCAGCTGTTTGTGGATACATTCATTTCTATTTTTCATTTTTTCATTTTTTTTCTTTAGATATTTTGAAGTCCTATTGTTCAGTGCACACACATTTAGGATTTTCATGTCTTTTTGATGAATAGTCATTTTTATCATCTGATGTCCTTTCCTCCTTCTGTTAATGATCTTTTTCTTAAAGTCTGCCTTTTCTTTATTAATATAGTGTGTGTACATACATATATTCCTTTACATTCATCCAAAGATGTGCCCCTTTCTGCAAATCTGGTGTTATATTCAGCATAGGTGCCTGAAGAACTTTTTTAGCATTTCTTTCATTCAGGAGATGAATTATTTTACCTTTTGTCTGTTAAGAAAGTATTTTGGCTACATTCATTTTTTGAAAGATATTTTTGCTTGATATAGAATCCTATAAATGTCTTTTTTAAAAAGCTTTCAGAACTTTAAAGATACCACATCATTTTCTGATCTCCATTGTTTCTGGTGAGAAGACAGCTGTCATTTCTAATGCTGCTTCCCTATATGTAATGTCTTTCTTATTCTGCCTTTTTTTCAAGATTTTCTTTTCCTTTTTGACTATGTTTACTATGTTTCACAAGATTGACTATGGTGTGCCTAAATACGATCTTCCCAGTATCTGTCCTTTTGTCTCCTTTTAGGGTTACGCTGAGCTTCTTGGATCTGTGGGTTGAGGTCTTTAACATTTTCAGAAAGTTCTTGGACATCACCATTTAAAATATTTATTTTATCTCATTTTTTCTCCTCTTTCCTTCTAGGACTCCATTTAAATATATATGCAACTACATCATATTATTTATATGTCTTGGATTCTCTGTTCCCTTTCTTTCTCTTTCTTAAACTGTCTTCAAGGTCATTTATTATTTTCTCTCATCTATACAGTCTGTTTTTAAATGGACATAATGAATTCTTCATTTCCAATATCATATTTTGTTATTTCTACCATCTCTTTCATGTTAACTTTTGTAGTTTCCATTTCTATACTGAAAATTTCTCATTTCTTCATGCATGTTGTCTGCCTTTTCCACTAGCTGCTTTTATGTTTCACCATAACTATTTTAAAGATCACAGTCACTGATTCTGACAGCTAGGGCCTTTCTGAGTATGCTTTTATTGATTGTTTCCACTTTTGATTAGAAGTATTATTTTCTTGCTTTTTCATATGTCTTGCCATATTTGATTGCCTTCAGGCCTTTTGTATAAAAAACAGAAGCAAATATTTACCTTCAGAAAGGGACATTCCTTCTTCTGTTAGTCTCCTTCAGTGGAGGGTCAGCTAATTCAATCTCTGAACTGGTTCTCAGCTAGTTTACAACTTTAGTTTGATTTGGTTTGCTACCGACTTGAAATTTTCAAGGGGTGGATGGTGGGTGATCAGCACTTTCTCTTCAGCAGAGGTTTAGATTTAAACAATAGCAAAAATTTTTTTGACTACCTGTTCCTCACAACTTAGCCACATGTCTTTGAGCATTCTGCCCTCTTCCTGCTTTTGATATTCAGCAAATGTCTTGCTATTTGTTTGAAGCCTCACTTCAATTTTGTCACTCAAGTCCTGTTAGACCAAAGAAAGCTTTGTTTTTCAACAGCATCTTCTGCCAAAGTAAATATTTGATTTTCAGCCTCTTGCCCCCACACAATATGAGAAATGACCTCAGAGAAACAAACTGAAGTCAGATCAACTGCACTAAGTTCTCCCCTCCCTTTGATATTAATCTCTTCCTTATTTCTTTATTAATTCTATCAAGTTTTTAAACAGAATATTTTAATATGTTACCTAGCTTTTCTTATTGTTTTCAGATAATTTGCCTGATACAACTAGTCTTTCCTTCTTGGAAGCACTCCTGGCTTCTTTCTTCATGATTGCTCAACTTTTCCTCACAAACTATATCCCTAAGAGAAAGATTCATAGTTATTTACTATTTTACAGTTGTATTATTATGTTACAACTATAGCAGAGATAACTATTACTAAAAATAGTATTCTTCCCTTTAAATGTAGGAAATTTTACTGTGTCACTATAAATGGCATAAACTCATTAATGTTTCCTATTTTATCTTTTGAAGCTATTATGTCAAATAATTGATATTAATGTTCTAAAATATTTTTGACTTTAATATACAAGTTCATTTGCATCCAAAGTCAGGTACCTTTATATAATGCTTGTAATGTATTAACTTTCTGAAGTTTGCAACATAAAAATGAAAACAAAAAAAAAAAAGAAAAAAAACCACCAAAGGTACTTTTATATAATGCTTGTAATATATTAACTTTCTGAAGCTTACAATATGAAAATGAAAAAAAACACAATTAATTTTGCTTCAGTCTATAATGTTTTTTATACAAAAGGCCTGGAAGGCAATTTCTGTTTCTATTTGGGAAATGATGAATATTTCAAAAGAGTAAAGCTGCATGAAGTGACTTTAACAGATCCAGTTCCTATTGATAGTTAAGATTTGAAGATAGAAATTTATTTTTTATATTTTAGAATTAAAACATTCAATGAAGGAATGGCATATTTTGCATTTTGGGGGCTATATGTAAGAAATCTAAATGTTTTGTAAACACTTTGTAAATCTCCTTTAAGTAACTTGATACAAATTTATGCCATTAATTACATTCTATAATAGGGAAATTTATACCTTTAGAGATAAAATATACTTGCTTTTTTTGGTAAATGGCATTTTTTCCACAAACAAAACGTTTTTGTTCTAAATACATCAACACATCTGATCATTCTTTTAAAATTTTTTTTAATTCAGGTTCTTTTTGCAAAGTATTGACTGTCATCTTTACTACTATCTCATTTATCATATACAATCGGTTTTTAAAGAAAGACTCCCACACGTTACCTATGTCTATGAAGAAAATGAAAGCAAAAAGCAAAAACAAAGAAAAGATGTGATTTATTGCTGGATCATCATTGTGTAAGAATTATACATTGTCAAACTATCAATAGAAGATTATATTAAAATTTAAAAGAATAATTATGTAGTTACATGTTTAACAAATGAATGTGCTCCATATAATCATGTTATATTACATTTTGAGTATAAGTATAATATAGTCTTTATATTTTAAATTTTTAAAAATATAAGGTACACATTTAATACTTTCAATGGAAGGATAATACTTTGACTGAAAGACGTTAAATTGGAAAAGGGAAAATGTATATATGTTAATTTTGAATGCTGTCATATCCTATTAGTTATTGACTCTTGGCTGTGTAGAATTAATTAGATTAATTAGATTTCCTATAGTTTATTCTTAGTACTTTTCATTTGGGCTGTGGATGTTTATTTCTCCATAAATTTTCTAAATAAAATTAGATTTGCTAATCCAGGTCATATAATAAAAATTGAAATTAAAGTCATATTTATTTTCCAAAAAAAGACTATTTTAAGACTTTTAAAATTTAACATTTTTTTAATCTATGATTTGTCATGTAGAGGTTTCCCCAGAAAATTTCTTTGGTTAATTGGCCAGCTCACAATACATATATTCATGCTCCTTTAATTTTAGTAGACATAAAATTCAATATAATAATGTACCTCCACGTTTTGACCTTCACTTAAATTTTATTGATAAAGATTACCTGTTAATCTGAGTTCATATCCATTTTTGTGCTTTTAGACTTTATGATTAAACATAATTATTTCACTTGAAGAAATAGTCACATTTAAATGTAGGAAACATGTCAATAATTTATAGATTCTTTAATCCAAAATATATTTCTATAGAAGGTTTTGGCTATAATTTTTTCATACATCATTGTATATCCATCCAAATTATATTTTGCAAATATTATAGACAAATCAGATTGTTGTAAAACAAAAAAGTTCTCTACAATGTTTCTTTGTTTTCTTGGGAGAAGTGATAACTGACAAAATTTTTCCTTTGTTATTCACATGCATCGATCACTGTGCTTGGACATTTCCCTATTTGTGGTCATGGCTGGCAGACGGCAATGTGAAGGAGGGATTATTTATATCTTGCTACACATTTTTCTTCCTCAACTTCAACATGCATTTTGAAAATCTATAAGCTCATCTTCATGTGAAACTACTTGATTGCTTGACTCTTCTCTGAACCAGCAGGTCTGCCAAACATTTGAGGATCAGAGTGCGAAAACAAAGGTCTTCTCTTTTAAAGATTCTACGAGATTTATTGCAGGGCTGAACTTTCAGAAGAGAAAAATGAAGTTTATATAAGCAGCAAAAATGTATTTATGATTATCTACATTTTCATAATAAAGTGCCTTCTTGTTGAAACATTTCTGATAATGTTTTTAATGTATGTAGGATTTTTAGCTTTTACTAGAATTAAAATTGAATAATTTTAGATTACTTATATCCTTTCTTAATATTCTAATATCTAAAAATGTTGTTTAAAAATTGATACAACTAAGAAATAAGGTAAAGTAATAACATTCAGAGCCATTTTGAAGGTGCTTGCAAGGTATATTTGTGTGGTATATGTGTTTGTGTGTGTATAGGTATATATTATCTCTGTATGTTTTTCTCATTTTTTTTTCAAAAAAAAAATCAGTGAAAGTATAATAAAAATTATAATAAGTTGGGAGTAGTGTTAACACTTTAAATTTAAATATAGCTTTCTGCCACAAACAAAAATGTGTTTATGTATCACAAACTAATTCATAGAGGATTATTAATAGGGAAGTGGTAATATAACCCAGAATTTCCATTGGTGAACACCAATTTACATTTTTTAAATAATCAGCATAAATTTTCTCACTATTACAGAGAAGACCTTAGCAATAAATGAAGTCTTTAAAAATGCCAAAAAATCCCATCTTCCTTTGGAGAGAGTTTTGAATGATTTAATGCTTTCAAGAATTACTACACTTTTGACAATGTCAATGTATCCAGTGAAACTGCAAGTGCAAATGAAGAAGCTGCAAAGATATTTCTAAATGTCAGATTTTTAATTTTGATGAAACTGATCTCTTTTGGGAATTCATACTCTCAATGACCTGCATTTTAAAGAGGGAAGGTGAGCCCCAGCATTTAAACCTACAAAATATTGACTGATTTTTATGCTGGGTAAAAATGCTAGTGGAGATTTAACTGTGCTAAGCTTTATTAAGATTCTGATTGTTTTTGTTAGAGCTCTGGTTACAAAGTTGCACAGGTTTTTGAGTGGCTTACCTCTACAATATGTCTCCGTAAACTCAATTATTTCTGGTGCTTAATTTTGCCTAAAAAAAAACACTGTAAAGGAATGTATACAAAATAATACAGTGGAAATAAATGCTTATGTTTTAGAATTGATTAGAATTTGTGTTCTTCAAATTACATTTGTTTCAAAGTTTTAAAATAATTGCAATGAAAAGCCTAGTTTCTCATTCTTTTACTTTGAAGGTTTCTGGCTTATCATATTTAGTGTTTAATCTCCCATTTATAGTCTAGAAAGGTATCAATTTTTGGTTTATTAATAGCATGCTTTCCTGTTTTCAGCACTGTTAAGAGTTTGCTCATTTTATATTTATTCTGTTATTCAGTCTGGCAGACATGGAGAAATAAAGATGTTTGTTCAGTCTAATATTTTCATAAGCACTCCTCATATTTTTAACATTCTCTATTATAATATTTTATTTGGGTCTCATACATAGTACAATATTGGGTTTTAAAAACTTCAATCTGAGAACACTTTTGGAGGGTCTGAAGATGTCCTATTGAAAGAACTGGTGATAAATTTATTAATCCAGTGTTGATTCTTGACATGGAGGTATCTTTTTGCTATAACCATTAATTGTAGTCCTCTGTTAATTATACATTTTAATCACCACTCCAACCTCCAATCCTGTCGCCAATTGTGCAACTTGAAAAGCCTAGATCATAATAGAAAATGTATACTTTTTATCTAAATGCAAGACATACATCACACAAAGAAGTTAGATTTTAGAGTAATTATTTGAGAAGAAACCTCTGGAATTTTGTATTTACAGTCATTTGCTGCACAATGTTTCAGTTACCGATGGACTGCATAACCAAGATGGGCCCTTCGGATTATAATGGACCAATGACATAAGGTCATAGCACAATGCATTACTCGTGTTTTTGTGTGATGCTGGTATAAATAAACCTATTGTATTGCCTGCTGTATAAATGTAATCCACACAATTACTGTATGTACAATGCACGACACTTGATAAGGGTAATAAATAACTATATTACTTGTTTATGTATTTACTCTACTATACTGTTTATCATTATTTTATAGTGTACTCCTTCTACTTATAAAAAAAAAGTTTACTATAAAAGAGTATGCCCTGTCATGTCATGATGTATGAGCTGCAGCCTCTTTATGGCATCATCTTCTCTTATGCTTTGTCTAATATAGTGTTGTTTTCTTTATTATGGCCCCTAACTATACAAAATCCACAACTAATGCTGCCAGTAAGGGCCCATATGAAGTGATTGTACAGTACACCATACCCTCTAGGTTTATGTAAGTACAGTCTATGATGTTTGCACAATGACAAAATAGTCTAATAATGCATTTCTCAGAACAAATGTATCCCTATTAAATGATACATGACTGTATTTTGTTTTATAAAAATTCATCGTAGGCTTTCATTTAATGGTTAACACCACATACATCTTTCTAACAGGTACTGTTCTATTATTCATCTAGAGTAGAATACTGTATTTATAGAAAATGAAAAAGTTTTGGTATACTCCCTTATACAGTCATTCCTTACATAACAACTGGGATACGTTCTGAGAAATGTAATGTTAGGCTGTTTTACTGTTGTGAGAACATCCTAGAGTGTACTTACACAGACCTAAAGGGCGTAGCCTATTACACACCGAGGCTATATAGTACAGTCTATTGCTCCTAGGCTACAAACCTGTTCATTATGTTACTATACTGAACACTGGAGGTAATTTTAACACAATGGGAAGTATTTATCTATCTGAACATATCTAAACTTAGAAAAAGAACAGTAAAAATAAGATATGCAAGGTAAAATCTGGGTGAATCAGTGAGTGGTGAGTGAATATGAAAGCCTAGGATATCACTGCACATTATTGTAGACTTTATAAGCACTGTATACTTAGGCTGTACTAAATTTAAAAAGTTTTATTATTAACCCTAGCTTACTGTAAACTTTGACTGTATAAACTTTTAAATTTTTTTAACTTTTTGATTCTTTTGTAATAAATATTAGTTTAAAACACAAACACATTGTATAGCTGTACAAAAATATTTTTATATCCTTATTCTACAATTTTTTATTTATTTTTTAAATTATTTTATTTTTTTACTTTTCAAACTTTTTTGTTAACTAAGACACAAACACACACATTTAAGCCTACCTGGAGTGAGATCATCGATTTCACTGTCTTCATGTCCACATCCTATACCACGGGAAGGTCTTCAGGGGCAATAACAGGCATGGAGTTGTCAACTTTTATAATAACAATTCGTTTTCTGAAATAACTTCTGAAGGACCTGCCTGAGGATCTTTTGAGAAGGTGTCACTCTTTTCAAAAATGTGTTCTGATGGTTTGTTTGGTTCGTTTCCTTTGTTGTTGGTCATATTTTCTTATAAGCAGATAAGGTACTATGAATATACCTCTCTATTAATGAAAGTCTTTGCATGTTGGAGTCTATGTTAGTCCATTTTGCATTGCTGGGGTGGAATACTACTCAACCATAAAAAGTGTATGTTTTCAAATGTGTGCATTTCAAAGATGGGCGGTGGGGAAATTTCTCCTGTCCAAGAATTAAACCTGGGGATACAGCAGTCGCAAAAATTAAAACGAATATTATATTTATAATACAGCAAGGGAAAAAAGATAACAGGTGAAAAAATCTTTTACAT